TACGTTTCCTAAAGCATAGATCGTAAATTTTCTGCTTACTGTCTTCTCGTGGTGAGTGTTATGCCTGGGTTACTGAAGCATAGTTTACTGATATACGAGTAAGATCCTGACTGGCTTTAGACCCGGTTGAGTTTGTGCAGATCGCCTTCCCAGCCTTCGGTAAATCTTAAACTACAAAACAACCAGTTCTCTCTTCCGTTATCTGGAGGCGGCCTTTGATTCAATCGACCGCTGTATACTCTGGCACTGTCTCTTCCTAAAGGGTGTGTCCGAAAATTTAAGTCCATTATTACGACCCCTTTATTTACTGATAGCCGAAGCCGAATCCGAGCTAATGCTTCTGTTTTCCCCGAGTTTACGGCAAAAGGTGGTGTTTGTGAAGATTGCTCTCTCTCCCTTTCTACTTAACTGAAGTATAGATTTGATTCTTTAAAGAACCTTGTATTCATGTGAGGATTGTGGCATCGATTCGCTTCCACGTAGAGTATGCAGACTGTTATGCTGCTGGGAGAAAATCCAGGTGCGGCGCAAGCTCTTCTGAGTAGTTCAACTTTTAGTGTAGCCATGTTTGGCAAGTGTTTTGCACCTTCGAAGTGTAAATTGTCAATACAGGACTGGGTTGCTTCAGCCCCCTATCTCACACCAACTGAAGTAGCAATTCAGAAAGTAGACGTGCCTATTCGGGCAGCTATATCTCACTTGACAGGCGCCTCAAGGATGAAGTGTCAGCACGTTTACCGAAGGCGCAATCAATCGATGTTTTTACCAATTTGATAGATCTATGGCTGTCTGTGAACGGTTGTCAGTATACTGCATCAGTTCGATCGGTTGTGCTGTNNCCGTTACAATAACCGGATAAAGGTTAGCTGACTGTGTTCAAGCACAGCCGGACCAGAATTGCTAAGGTTAGGCACAGTTTTAGCTAATCACGGTCTTCCACTGGGGCAAGTGGGCGACCTCCATCGGTTGTGTGCTGGAGCGTATTGTGCGTGTCACCAAATCGACTGCCGAGACAGGTAATGGGTGAAATAGTGATTGTTGTTTATGCCAAGTTCTGGCATGACAATATAAAATCCCTGACCATGAGGCTCGTTCAGACAGGTCACGTTAGGCTTCCTGGATGGGAACCTCGAGGATCAGCATAACCGACGGTTAGGAATACTGAGCGACATAATCGAGTATCGTAAGCAGGGACACTCATGCATTTACCCCATAACCTTGCAACCTTAATCTACCTAACTTCTCTTTTTCACCATGAAACCACTTTCAGCGTTACGGTCTCTCCCCTTCCGGGGTCACCTCGTGAGAACTATCTCAGGATAACGAAACTCACAGTTGACTCCGTTACGTTAGACAACCATGAAAGTGGCTTTTTGGCAATTAGTGAAGCGTTGCTTATTCGATCCCAGCATCCGAATTTCTTGCGCCCAAAGGTTGTTGAATCAATTAATCCATTTACCATGGGGTTGACCTTTCACTTCTTTTTTGGTCATCTTTATTTCCATGTGCTCGTTCATCCAGTATGATTGATCAACTCGGTGTGCTTCTTATACAGCTTGTTTTATTTATGCGATTTAAGAGATTAAACGAAATTTCAACACCTTTCGGTGTTTACGCAATGTACAAGCGGGGCCCTAGTGTTTCATATTTTGCCTTTCCCGAGTTCGCACCTAACGAAAACATCCAAACCAATTCGTCAAATGAAAAGTCTATGCGGGAAAGCTGTCCTTTTCACTGTCGTGCTACCAATTATCTTCGTTTTGCAACCGTCACTACTGTTGCTCAAAACAAGACCAGCATCTGGTATTTCAATCATGTCCCGTAAACACTGCGGTGCAACATATTGACATCGATTTCCCTGCCTTTCTCCTCATCACAAATCCCCGGATCACCAGTTTCTTATTATGAATCATGCTTGTTCCGGTTGATTTTCTTACCCACTTCAGCAGTGGAGCATTTCTGTTTTGTTTGATCTCTTCACATTTGACTCCACTGTGGTCCATAATTGTACCAGAGGAAATGTGTGTCCCAACGTTTGAGGTCTATTACTCGGCATTCCGTTAGCGAACTGGTGCTNGGGGGGGGGGCGGGACATGAATTCGACCCGAGCTATCTTTATTTATTCAATATATTAGGTATACTTTCTTAGTTGATTCCCCAGGCTGTGATTCGCATCGGAAGCTAGTTGGTTTCGGGTGCTTTATAGTACACTCCAAATTGTGCCGCTTTTGTTGACTCCTTGATATGGATCTTTGCCAGCAGATTGGCATAGTCTGTTTTATGCTACCTATATTTGTTCATTTACAGTTTCGATGATGTCACCGTTGAGCAGACAAAGCGGTAAGAATCGCAAACGATGATAGGAATCAGTTTTTAATGCATGGTTACTTCGGTGACGTAAGACGTATGTGTTGGTTATTCTGATATCTCAGTTATAGGTTGTATATCACTTGGTATTTCAAGCTGATAGAGCGTATTCAGTGCACAGTTCCCTGTAACGTTGTTCATAACCGGAACCGCCACTTTGAAACGAGGCAACAGTAATCAGGTAGCGTCATTTTAAACCAATCATTCTCAAACTGCTGCAAAAATTAATTCACGATCACTTATAACACGTCGCTCAGTATTTCCTTGACCAAACCGACAGCTTTCACGACATCTTTGATTATACTTTTCCAGTAGGCAATAACCATGATGTTTTGTTTCGTCAGATAAAACGACGCTGAAAGAATTCTCTCAGTTGTTTCAATATTCTATATTGAGTGGATCGAGTGCGTGGTAAAGATGACATATTGTGATGGAAGGCAGTACAAAGAGAGTCCTGGCTAGCAACCGAATCAAGAATGGGACTCATCCGACCAGACGCGCTGTCGATCAACGCATCTCCCGCCGTGATCGGATCAAAACAGTCGGAACTGCACGCGGAAGAAGAGGCAACGTACGTCCAAGTGCGGGCCAAAACCAACAAGGAATGACCCACAGAAAGAGGCATGAATCATCCCGCCGTGCGGTTGAGAATTGACTGTATGTAATCGAACGCATACACTGTTTGCTTTTGAATTGGATCAATAGACGTTTTTCCCAGCCAGCTCGCCTTATCGCTACAATATGAAGGCCTTATTTGCCTGAACCCTTTCGTCACTGACAGTTATAGTTGTCATTTTAGCTCAGCTGCCTACGGGTAGAACCAGGTGAGACAATCCGTCATGGATGTTGACTGATCATCCTCCGGGCTTCATTATCACAGATAAAAGCAAACACCGAATACCCAGTTCCTTCAGTGAAGCAAGCACTTGAGAAGAATCGGACTCGAGTTTAACTTAACGTTAGAGGAGGTCATCAATGGGGCATATCTAGCAACCAATTAAAGGCTTGAACTACTTTGCAGTTTTCGGTTTCAGTTTGTACAACCATTAACCATACACTTTCATTCGCGGGTTTTGGTTGCTATCTTTACATGAACAATTGACCTGTAAACTGCCTCTCACCGTAGTTGTTTGATGGAGTGACCGTTCCAGGGGCGGTTTTGGATAGAAGAAGGAAGCCAGGAGGTACCCAAGCAGCCTGCTTTGTCTGGCTTCTACCCATTGACCTTTCAGGCATGATTGGATCTACAGTTGTGAAAAGCCATCCTATGTAGCTCACAGGGTCATGGAGGCACGCAAGCCACCACATCACGTCAAGGTGCAGTCTCGTCGTGATGGACTTAACTACGTACACGAAAGGATTGTGTGGTCCCACTGCAGCAACCGGATAACACACCAAGTGTGTTTGCATGTCATTTTCGATGAAAGCCCAACAGCATTGAGTGAAAGCTAACTCCGCTCAAAACCACTCCAACAAATGATGTCCTTTGTGCAGGTATTTGAGGCGCATTCCCCATTTCATATATGTCTTCCATGCGAGGGGTTCAAGTTCAAATCCTGTTTCGTTTAAAGTTGCAAAACTGATGAGTTCTATTGAGAGCGAAACTTTACTCTGATGCTTTTCGTTTCTTGATTGTACGAATGTTCCACACAAATCGATTTATGTGTCTGACAATACGATTTTCGAGTCTTGAAACAATTTCTCTTGTGGTTCGAAAGGCCACAACCCTAAATATGATTATCCTACTGAATTCCACTAACGGGTTCTTTGTTTTTTTATTACTGTTTCATTTGTAGCAGCGCACTACAAACAACTTTGGGCGCTCCGTGCGAACACATAGGAGTTCAATAATTTTTTCTGTCGCCCTCTACCCATCCTCAGGTATATTCGCACTTTCTAGTTTCCTAAGTGAATCCAAATGCTTACGCATTCTCGACATTCGATCGAATCATATCAATTTGGCTGCATTGATGGCCTTGTCAAAGACCTTGTCGGTCAATCGAACACTAACCAGTCTGCTCTCAGACGCGCGCAACATGACTTCCACTGAAGATCCTGTAATAGCGGTAAGTGTAGTCCGTTCCACTCTGACCTGTTGATTGTGCTGTTTGTTTGTCATAGCTCCTCTCCTGGGGGCTGAATCTGTGCCACTGTTTGTGAGAAATAATACCGATCGCCAAGCCTGGTCCTACTAGACTTCATAGTCGCGTTGACACGATCTGACGGAAGCTGTTCCGTTTGCTTCGACCAGCTTGAGGTTCAGGCATTTACGCAGTCTTTCTTCAGCTACATGCAGGTCCACTGTGTCTACCAGTGAACCAAGTCGATTACGGCCGAGCCAACCAGCTGCGATTCCAACTGTGAGATGTCATGGGGTGACTAATCGAATTTGATAGCACGGTATTAATAGAGAGACCAACACACAGTTCTAAATCATCTCACTGAATCCATCCATACAACAGTTCAAATGGTCATTACAATGTGGTCATAATGCACAAGTTTTTAAACCGAGGAGAAAATGCAATCAACATCACTCACCAAACCCGTTTCTTACCAAGGTAACAAGATGCCAGTCACCATCTTGCTATTTTTCCGTCTTTTATCAACTGACAGTTTGTAACTATTCACTCACCTGTCAGTTTTAGTTTATACGGTCATTAACCATGCACATTTTGCATACCTGTCCGGTTATCTAACAAGCATAAAATATGTTTATCCCTTTGTGATACATTCATCATCGTTTAACATAGTGCCACCATTTTGTTGTGTATTGTTGCAGAGAAGTCTATGTTTCGTGACGTTTTTTATCAGTATAACTCAATCTCTGTTTTCTCTTGTCGGTCCGCTGCTTCCTCCAGACGGACGCAGAACTTATCCTCTATCTGATCGAGGAAATCGATCAATGTTTGCGTCGAAATCGAGCCTTGAATCAGCCTTCTCCGCCCGTTTTTATCCAGCAAACGGAGCTCCCTTCAAGTACATCTACTAGTGTGACGGATATTGACCCCGCATCTCCACAGTTGGTCAACCGTAGCGAGCAGGTCAAACCGACCAAAGANGACTCGCACTCACCCAATTCGACTAAAGTAGAAACCGATTCCGATCCCAGTGAGCCAGACTCGGAAGATCCGTGTACATTCAAATGGTCGGACAAAAAGCTGGTGGAATTGCGCAGCTCGATCGAAGTGCCCGAACCACTTCCGCAATCTAGTAGTTTTCTCTCTGATCCAGTCTCTCCCATCGAATTCCCAATTGAGAATTCCACAAAGTCAGCGCCACGGGCTCCATNNGGCTCCATCAACCAATAATTCCCCTGTTCCTCAAGCAAAACAGCACTCACCCGCGTCCAATTCCAGTTCACGCGAGTCCGATCACGAGGATTTTGACTGGGATTGGCCAAAGCTGACTGAGACGGAATCAGAGCCAATCCCGAATCCACCAATCGAGTCACTTTCCGCCCCTCCTAAAACGGAAGATTTGCATACGGTGAATTCATCCAATTGCACCGAATCCCATTCGAGTACGGTTTCTGGTGCGTCCGGAGATGGGATGACGTCTCGTCGGGCTCGTCGAAAACATATGAAATCGGCTCACTCCACAAAACCGGTAGCCACTTGAATCTATTGCTACCTCTCCCTCCACCCCCAACTCGTTGCCACTTCATCGTATGATACCAATTGTAAGCTCACACAGCTTGCCGTTTTCTGTCTTGGTAAGT